TGGATCAGAAGGACCCTTAAAGCTCATCCAGTACCACATCCCTGCCATGGGCAGGGACACCTTTCACCATCCCAGGCTGCTCCAAGCCCCAAAGTCCAGCCTGGCCTTGGACACTTCCAGGGATCCAGGGGCAGCCACAGCTGCTCTGGGCACCCTGTGCCAAGGGCTTCTGCAGCCTCACAGAGAACAATTTCTTCTACAGATTTCCCCTCTGGCACTGGGAAGCCATTCCCCCTTGTCCTGCCACTCCAGGCCCTTGTCCAAAATCTCTGTCTATGTTTCTTGTAGCTCCTTCAGGCACTGAAAGGTCAGAATTTGATCACCCCAAAGCTTCTCCTCTCCAGGCTGAACAATCCCAGCTGTCCCAGCCTTTCCTCCCAGCAGAGCTGCTCCATCCCTCTGATCATCCTGGTGCCTCCCCTGGCCTCTCTCCAGCAGCTCCAGGTCCCTCCTGTGCTGGGCCCCAGGGCTGGGGCAGCTCTGCAGGTGGGGTCTCACCTGAGCACAGGGACAGAGGGGCAGAATCCCCCCCTCCCCTGCTGCCCACACTGGGCAGGGTTGGGTTAAGAAACAGGGAAATCCAGGGAAAAGCACTGCATCTCACCACAGCTTCGTGTAACAGGGACAATTCCACACCATCATCAGCAAACTTTCAGGTGGAGGGAACAGCCAAAGGGTAAGTGATGCACAAGAACCTCAATCCTACATTTCAAATGACTCCAGCAAATTTCCTGGTTGTAAATGCAGGACATCCCTTGGAATGGGTTAAGCAGATTTTTTGGACATGAAGCATCCCAATTTTTTTTATTCAGATACTTTACTCATAGGGCCTGTGTTGGTGGTTATTTCTAAAAGATCAGCTAAAATGGGTTTACAAATGTTTATATTTAAGAAACTATTAAGATATCCAAGCAACAGTAAGATCCTTGAAGGAAATCGAGGAGTACCACCAAAACCAGAGCTTAACAACCCAGCAATAACACATCACTCAAAAGAATGTTTTAAAAGTGGGCTATTCTCAAATTTCAAAAGCTGTCAAAGTAAATAAGATTGTTTCACCAATTTCCTGTAACATCGCATAAAGGAAAAAAAAACAAATCACTGTTTTCTGACAGTCTTTCAATGAACAGCACTCTTACACCCACACAAGGTCACAAGTTTGCTTCTGACTGAGGCCAGATGTGGGAAAATGGACAAAAGCAAACAAGGAAATGCACTCAAAGATGCAGAGATCACTCAAGGAATGGACATCCTGTACACGTCCACAGGTTCCTGATAACATTCTCCCTCTCTTCCATTCACTTTTCATCATCCTACCTGATATTTTCATTGGTACTGAGCTGACATTTCCATGAATTCCATTAAAAAACCTGGTGTTTAGAATACATTAGGTTGAGCTGATGAAGTTGAACAGGCTGGAAACAACCAGCACAGTGTGGACACTCAGTGAACTCCCCATGGCACCTCACTGAGGCACCACATTCCTGTCAGGGTATTATCACAAGTTCAGGCATCAGATCTGAATCTCTGAGGCTGAAGAAGGAGTTTGGGTAAGGGCCTGGAATGCCAGGATGAGGCAGTTTGGCTTTAAACTGAAAGAGGGCAGGGATAGATGGGATATTGGGAAGAAATTGTTCCCTGGGAGGGTGGGCAGGCCCTGGCACAGGGTGCCCAGAGCAGCTGTGGCTGCCCCTGGATCCCTGGAAGTGTCCAAGGCCAGGTTGGACTTTGGGGCTTGAAGCAGCCTGGGACAGTGGAAGGTGTCCCTGCCCATGGCAGGTGATGGCACTGGATGGGCTTTAACCCTTCCATCCCAAACCATTCTGGGATCCTGTGATGATAAATGAAGCTCCATGAATGAGGGAAGAAACCTCTTTTACCTGCAGCAATATAAACTGGCCCAAGGTTCAGCAGCAGAGACCCCAGGATAAAAAATTCCTCACAATCAGACAAGAGCATGGAGGAGAGGGTACCCAAGGCACTCAGGTGAAAGGAAAACACAGAAGACAAAGTTCATGATGGGCAGTTGGGCCATGGCTTTACTTTCCCACAGAAGAATGAGCAGTACCAATCCATCTTGGAAGATGCTCTGTCCACAACACTTCAAGAAGGAATTTTACCACCTCAGAAGCACAAGGGTGAACCTGAGAGATGCCAGTGTGACTGCTAATGTCACCAAACAGCAGCTGCTGAGAATTGGTGACACCCAGCACAGACTCCTGTCCACTGCTGAAGTCAGGGAAGGGGAACAGACTTGGAAGTCACGATTATTCCTATAGGAGAGAGGGTGGAGTTCTGGACATGATACTGAGACAGCTCCTTTGATGAAAGGGGAAGAGGCATTCCTGTGGTTTGCAGCAGAAAAGTAACTACAGGTAAGCAGTGCCCAGTGAAGTGATGTGTCTCTTCCTGGGGCTTTGTCCACAGTGTCCTGAGGCTGCCAGGATGGGGAGGGACAAAAAAGGCCGTGGCAGCAAGAACGCAACAACAGATTTACAAGAAACATTCATTCTAAAGATGAAATGAGAAGATAAAATTAGTCTTCATTCAGTGTCAGAAGAGATGACTTCAATCCAGGCACGTATTCCATGGGATTGGCAGCAGGCCTGAGATTAGGGATACTTTGAATTTTTCCCTCAATTTTTGTGGCTTTTCTCCTAAAACGTGTAAAGAGAGATGGGAGAGAAAGGAAAGCACCGTGGGGTGTCAGGTTGGCTGTCCAAAATAAAAGGCTGAACTGCGGGAAACACCATTTTAGTGCAATTCAGTTGTAAAAACAAGAGAAAACTACAAGCTAAGAGGCCAGATAAGCTGGCCCACGCACTTTACTACTGCTGAGTGAGGAGGGGAAGGTGTCAGAGTGTGGAATTAAGTGCCAGGTGAAAGTCTGCCAGCTCCAGAGTTCAGCCCTGGCTACAAACAGAGGGTTGTCAGCAGCTCTGTGAGGATCTAAATGCATTTAGTACCTGGGCAGCTTGGGAAAGGAATCTTCATTTGGATAAAAAGGCACTCTGGGACAAATAAGATATTCATGTATGCAGAGAGGGATTGGGAATTTGTCAGCTTTTCAGCTATTTTCCCCTCAGAGGAGGCGGCACAGGGAGCGGCTCTGGGTACCAAGCTGAAGTAAACAAAATGCTGGGGAACATTAGGAGGGAGAAGAAGAGGGCCTAAATTAGAATGACATTATATAGGACAATAGGAAACCCCTGGAGCATTAAACAAAGGTTTTGCTGCCATCATTTAAAAAAAGAGGCACCAGAGAACGACAAGGGCTCAGAAAGGACACTGGGGGATCTTGCACTCCTCTATCAAACACAAGAAATCCAAAAAAACCCAACCCTACCTCAGGAATCAGACTGGTTTGGACTGGAAGGGATATTAAAACCCATCCAGTTCCGCCTTCCACTACCCAGGCTGCTCCAAGCTCCATCCAGCCTGGTCTTGGACACTTCCAGGGATCCAGAAGCAGCCACAGCTTCTCTGGGCATCCTGTGCCAGGGCCTCCCCACCCAATTCTTTCCCAATATCCCATCTATCCCTGCCCTCTGGCAGTTTAAGACACGGAAAAGGAAAATTCACAAGGATTGCTTGCTGCAAGAAAGAGACATTACAGACATCAGCTGAAATTTTGATCAGCAAAGCTGCTGTAGCAACAATTTTTTCCCATGACACTGTAATATTTCTGTCCTAAAGGAATACAAGCAGGAATAAAAGCAAGAATCCACACAAAGAAATCTTTCTCATGCCAGCTAAACAGTCAGGCTTGTTCAGGAAGTCATCAGAACAGAAAAAACACTCTACTCCCAGTTGTTGCCTCTCCAAACAACAATAGATTTAATTATGTAGATTAAAACAAGGACATCCCATGCTTCAGGGCTTTTGCAAACTGCCTGCAGGAGCCACAGGGGAACCCCCATGTAGTGCTGTGCACCTCACCTCAAGTATAGGGTTCAGGGACACATTTCCTCTCTCCAAGACATGCAGTGAATCAGAGGAATATCTGCTGAACAGAAGAGATTAATGGCTTAATTCAGTTGCTAATTGATATGTTAGATTTTGCCCCCTAGCTGTGTGATATAAATTGAGTAAAACATATAAAAGCCCATAAATTGTGAGCTTCCTCGCAATTCCCTACACTTGTTCCAAGGTGAAGAAACTGCCTGGAGAAATTTATTTCACCTAATCTGAATTTTACTCCTTTTCCATCACTATGGTCCTCAGCACACAACAGAGAAGAGAGAAGTTTCTACACCTGAGCATAAGGCAGTCAGGTTTGGGGAATTTTGGGATTAAATCCAGCTGTTTCAACAATGTCCTCATTCCAAAAGTGACAACACATTCCAGGGGAGACCTTCCGGCTCTGCACAACTCCCTGACAGGAGGGGACAGCCAGGGGGGGTCGGGCTCTGCTGCCAGGGAACAGGGACAGGACAAGGGGAAACGGCCTCAAGCTGTGCCAGGGGAGGCTCAGCTTGGACACCAGGAGGAATTTCTCCATGGCAAGGGAGCTCAGGCCTTGGCAGGGGCTGCCCAGGGAGCTTTGGAGTCCCCATGGCTGGAGGTGTCCAGGGAAGGGCTGGACGTGGCACTCAGTGCTCTGGGCTGGGGACAAGGTGGGGATCAGGCACAGCTTGGACTCCATGGGCTGGGAGGGATTTTCCAGCCTCAGTGATCCTGGGATACGTTACTGCAGTGAAAAGAGCTTTTTCCTCGAGCTGGCTCCCGATTCACACAACTGATGTGAAGCATTCCTCCCCAAGGGGGAAAACTGGGAAGACAAATCTTTCAAGACAAAATATCCTGATAACAATGAGATGTTTAGCCTTGGAGGGAAGCCATCAAAATCAAGGCAAAATCTGTTAAGAGGCCTTTGGGAAATTATCCAAAATAGGATTCAGACAGAAGCATTGCCACTTGACCTGAGGACACAGTCTGAGGTGGCACAAAGAAGTAGAGAACATCACAGAAATGACATCAATGCTGCTGAATAGCCTTACCCTGATTCTGAAGTTTAAATTTTCAGTGCTTTCTCATTAATTGCATCTTGAGGGAATCAGATGGTTGTAAACTTGGTAAGAGCAGTTTTTTTTAAGACTTACAGCACCACATGCCAGGATTTTGGGTTCTGCCACAACACTTTGAAATGCTGAGGAGGAAAGGAAGAAATCAAATTAGGAATGCAAGCAAGGCTGTGAAAAAAGTGAAAAAAGTTCATGAGAACCCAGTTTGGCCAACAGAGGCCACTGAGACTGGACACCTACTGAGGTGGGAGGCCAGCAGCTCTTCAAAATCCCCCTCAAGAGGCAGATTTACCCTGGACAACTTCTACCTCCTGTTAACAAGGTAGCCATAAATCACCTCAGCACAGGAGATTTCAATCATGGCTCTAAACCACATGATCCTTGTATTGAAATTAATCTCTGGATACATTCTCACAGGAGCCTTCTCCACTCTTGGAATTGAAGTGTTTTCCAAGTTCTGTTGAGTTCTTACTCAAATCTTTTATGAATGAACCATTTTCCTGATGCTTTAATCATTGTTTATACTTTTATAGAACAAATGCAGAGAGGCAGAAATGCAAGCCTACATCTTTAGTTATCACTTAGTGTGCAATCATAAACAGCCTACGTGGCTGCAAACACATCTGATGCAGGCAGATTGCAAAATTTGGCTCAGCAGATGTCCCACCAGGAAACTCTTGGAGCACTGGAAGTTATGGAAGTGGATGTTGGGTTTCTGTGCTCAAGTCCCATTTTAGGAATAAAATCCTGGTGTTTCTGTTTCATGCCCTTCAATACAAGCCTTGTTTTTGAACAGACTCTCACAGGGAAAGGCCTTTTCGCAACTGAGCACTGCAACTTTTACCACATTTATGACTTTTAATCACAAAACATCTTAAGTCTTCTACAGGTGGTGGTAGAGCAAAGCTCATCCCAAACCCCACCATTTTATAATGGAAACCCAGGAAATTGATCAAAGTCATACAGCTGCTCTTTGCAACTGTGTTGTACTTTCAGCATCATTGGAATTGAAAAAGAATTTGAGATTGAACTGATTTTTAAAAGACACATTTAAGATTTTTGTCTTTTTTTTTTGTCCCAACTTCCCTCTCAAACATAAATATTTCCCGAAGTCTTCTGAAGAGTAGGTTGCCCAATATGGAAAATATCAGCCAAAAATGTTAATCAATACTTGAATCCAAGTATTCTGCTCAGGATATTTCACCAGCTCTGCCCCAAACTGGAAGTTTAACAAGAAATGGAATTTTCAATCCTTAGGAACACAAAATGACTCAACTGTTCAATTTCTTAGTGTCTTCCCTAGATTTCTTTCCAACTCAAATTAATAATTATCCCTCTAAATGAATAAATTCTCCTTCTAAATTCTTGAAAGGAGGAAGTAGTGCTCAAAGAGTCCGGAATTTGGGGTTGATATCTTGCTTTCTTTATGGGAATTATAAAATCATACAATGGGTTGGCAAAGATCTCTGGGATCATCTAATTCCAACCCCGTACCATGGGCAGGGGCATCAGGTTTTCAGTCACTTCAAATTCAAAATTGGGCTCATAAAAGGAATGACCAGAATCACTCTCCAAGAATATTTATGTGGTTCAGAATTCTGAGAATTAAAACTTTGCTGGATAATCCAAAGGAGCTGAAGAGCACCAAAGTTTCCCAGCACTGATTGCTGAATTCATCACATCTTCCCTCCACAGAACATCAAATCCTTGTCCTACCTGTATAAACTGGAATAAATTAATATTTATTCCTTCCTTTCCTCAAGCTGAATTGCAAAGAAATGAGTATTTACTAAAGGATTTTTTTTTTCCTTCTTGGAGATAACTGACACAAAAGGCCTCTGATACCAAAGAACCCAAAGTCACAGAGACCTGGCACAAAGTCCAGGTCAGGTCAGTGGCTTGATGGGAAAAACAGGAAGCAGAGCACAGAGAATCCTTGTTAAGGTAAAGGGAACAGCAGGGCAAGGAAGCCCAGGGAGCTGAGCTGACCACAAGAGATTGAGGACAGGTTGCACTCCAACCCAAGGATCAGTGACAGCATTTTTAGAATATTGCCAGAAAAGGCCTCTAAGTGTATGGGATCTTTACTGCCTTGGAAGGCTTTGTTTGCAGGCTTTGCCAGGCAATAAATTGATTTAGCAAAATGTCAGGGTGGAGGGAGGAGGCAAGAAACAGGAGGTGAATTCCTCCCAGAAGAACACCAACTCTCTGACTGCTCTGCAGAAGGCAGCTGAAGGATTTACTGATCTGGTGGAGTATTTAATGAAATTATTCTCCTGCGCACAGCCTTTATGAGCTGGATCACTGCTATCCTCTCCCCCAATAACTCACTCTCTTCTCATTATGCAAAAAAACTTCACATAAATATCTCCACACTCATCAATTCAATCACTCCTGCCACTGCTGTTTAAAAATCATCTTACACTGCCACTTCCCCTCATTCTATGGCATAATTCAGCACAACATTGCTAAAATCCAATTTGGAGCGTCCCAAAACACACAGTAATTTTGGTTTGTGGCAGGACACCAAGCCCATTCCTATTTCATATGAAAGTTTTGTCTAAAGTTAATTAAATGGCCAATCTGAGCATAAATTTGGTATTAAAACAAAATTCTCTTCACCATTTAAAAAAAGTCTAACAAATGGATGAATTGCAAAACAGAAGGTGGGATCTCTGAAAAAGAATTCCAACTTAATTCTTACTTCAGAGGAGGCAAAGAAAAATACAGATTTTAGAATCAATTGTCTACTATGAATTTCCTTCTGCAAATAAGAGCCTGTTTCATTTGGGAAAAAAAAAAAAAAAAAAAGCAAAAAAAAAGCATTGCAATACAGCAGGTTTTTTGCTTTATTTACAAAATATTTTGACTTCACCTGTGCTGGAAATAAGAATAGGGACAGAGGCAGAAAACTCTGGTTTTAGCGTAGTTTTCACACCCCACTATTGATCCTACAATAGGACAGACATCAATATCCTTGTTCTAACACCAATAAGAGAAGTTTTCATACCAAGTGTATGGAAAGGAAAAGGAAAAAAGTAAAAGAAAAAAAAGGAAAAAAAAAGCCACTTTCGAAAAATTAAATTACCCATGAAATCTTTTTTCAGCCTTACAAAGACAAAAGGTCATCAGTGAAGACAAAGCTATGGCTGATCAGGCATCCAAAGAAAGAGAGATCATTAGAACCATGAAAATAAAGTTTGAAAAAACAGGATTTACAAAAAAAAACACAAACCAGTAACAACTTATTGCATGTGTTGATAGCCCAGTGGAAATGCACTGGAAAAGGTGGGAATTATCTATCCTTGCCCCCCTTACCCTTCAGTCATTACACAGCTCCATGACATCCTTATTTTGTCCTTCCTTTTCCAGGCTGAGAGTCCTGAAATCACTTAGTTATTCTTCAGAGAGGAATTATTTACAGTCCTGTAATTAAATCTCTGCTGAATTTCCCCTGAATTTCATGAAATCTTAACAATGGGGGAAAGCACAGGACTAATTCCCAAGGAAAATGAACAAAATATTTTTCCACCTCCTGTGTTTCTGTGGAGAAATTGAAAAGTCTTTTAATACAGTCCAAATGTTCAAGGAAGAAATAAACTCTCAATACTTCACCATCACTGCTTCTGGTTCATCTCTTCCATGAACTCACCTCTGTGACCTTTCCCTGGGAAATCATTCCTGCATTTTCTCTCATCTTGCAACAGCACAGGCAGTTCCCTACACCTTTCAGAGATGGAAAAAGCAGTGCTCTCCTTATCACCACCAGGAGAAGACATTAATCTCAGCAGGAATGCTGAGGACAAACCAACCACAAGGGATTATGTCCATCTCTAATAGTTCCAAGAGCTAAATCTCTCTATCAGGCTCATTCATCACTGGGATGCAACAAGAGCAAAAGTTTTTTGGGTAGAAAGAGATTTTTTAAGTCAGCTTTTAACAGTTAAAGGCTATTGGGATATTCCTCAACAAAAACAAATCATTTGTCTTCCCACAGAGGAGTCATTTCAACACCTGTGCTCCCAAAACAAGAGCAGAACTGGATTCCCCACTCAGGTGAAGTACACGGTCAGGGTTGTATGCAAATACCATCAAGACTGGCTTTCATAAATTAAACCGCAGAAGAAAGAGGCAGAAAGCACAAAAAAAATAAAAATAAAGGAAAACCCAAATATTGTGTCAGATTTGCCCATGGATCTGCAGCAGCAGCTGCTGGTTGTAACCCATTTGTGTGTCAAGTTGGCAGCAGGGAGTTAAGACACCTCTAAAACCACTCTCAGCTAAGCTCTGCCATCGCTGTTACTCCTCAGGTCTGACCAAAACTCACCCTTATGGAAAAAAATCCAGGGACCATAGCCCTCGCTTTCCTCAAAAATCCTATGCTTTAACATGAGATAATGGAGCAAAAGCTATGCAGAAGCTTGGGAGAGAGCAACTCACATGGGAGGGAAAGAAAAATATTCCTATACCCCGGTGAGCAAAAAAAGGTGCTTTTAAAACCAGCATTCAATAAAGCACAACAACTGCATTTGCTAAACCCAGTCCCAACTCCTGCTGGGCAGACATATGGCACATAATAAACCTGAAATTGGTTAGAACTGCTGAAATACCATCAGATAAATGAAATTATTTTCTAACAATCCTTAGCTACTGGGAACAGCTCCTCCCTTCATACACCAATTACTGCTTAATTACTGTCAGGCCACACTTCCTAAAGGAACATCAGAAGGGAATTTATGGCACCAGTAAAAGAAACGTCTGTTACGTCAGGAGTATGAATCATTATTGTTTGTTACAAACTGGTTTCTAATTCAACCTGGTCTTGGACACTTCCAGGGATCCAGGGGCAGCCACAGCTTCTCTGGACACCCTGTGTCATTCTCATGACCCCAAGGAATAATTACTTCCCAATATCCCATCCATCCCTGCCCTCTGGCACTGGGAAGCCATTCTCCCTTGTGCTGCCACTCCAGGCTCTGGCCCCAAGTCTCTCTCCATGTTTCCTGTAGCTCCTTCAGGCCCTGGAAAGCCACGATTTGCGCCAAAGCTTCTCCTCTCCAGGCTGAACAATCCCAGCTGTGCCAGCCTTTCCTCCCAGCAGAGCTGCTCCATCCCTCTG